ACACATATCTTTGAATTACTTCACAGATATGTTCAGTATCGCGATGTTTTCCTTCATGGTAAGACCGCTAGATAAAAAGTACATATGTCAACCTATAACACATTGGTGCATGTCGGGATTCGAACCTGTAGATTACAAGTCAAGTGCTTGACGTAAAAGCTATCGTCGCTCACACATTTGATTTTACAAATTAAAGCCATTGTGGCTTGTAAGCATGATACAATGGATAGTTTAACACCCCGGATTGGTTTGAAATACGAGAAAAACTTTTTCGTACTCTGAAAGTATTACGTCAAGTGACATTCATTTGGAAAAGAGCCAACTTTTAACTTAGTTCAACTTTGAAGCAACAAATATAAAGATTACCTCGTAATACATAGCTTTAATCTTACTTACTACTTAATATAAATGCGAATGTTTAGATGGATGTTTATTTGAAGGTATCTCTAGAACAGAGTAGAGTAGAAGGAGTAGAACATAGTCTGCAAGAACAAATAGGCTATTAACTAAGATTTTTTTATTTCCGCACGAACGGAGTCGTGGGTGATAGCTAGTAATTCATATAAGACGTTTTAAATCTATAATAATATTACCCAAGTAATAAACTTGCAATGACGTAATATCATTAGCTTCCAAACAAAACCAGCTAGTCTCAATTCCCAGACACTTTGGCACCACGTATCTTATTGTGTTGTCCTACTTACACAAATGTTAGTATTATTTAAGCATATTAACTTCACGAAAAATTAACATAAACTTTTGGTATTTGAAAGACTTCTCGCGACTAATGACTCAATTTTCCAATAATTAGAAAAACACAATGAAAAGTAATTAAAATTTTAGTTCCCAATAAAATTCCAGAAGGAATGGATCGAAAATACCACTATTAATTCCATTGCCGCTTTTATCGCTCTGAACTTTGTCATCGCAGAATTAAAAAAAAATAGTAGCCTATATACCGCGTGCATTAACTACCTTCCCGTTAAATTCAAGTTTAAATCGTCTCTCGTTCTGGAGATTACCCGGAACACACACACAGGAATTACAAGGAACTTGTGGACAGACACACAGACAGACACAGAAATTCTTAAATTTGGTTAATCGTTAGCGGCAATGCAAAACACGTGTACTAAGTTTTTTTTATCGATATTACATAAAGACATTCCATTTTTAATAATAACTGTGTATAGATGTTCTTACTTTACTTATAATTTTGACGAATAAGTAAACGTAAAATTTCCAATTTGGATTCTGCCCGGGGCTCGAATAAAAATAGCTCCCAAGAGGTTAAAGTGGGATGGGTTGATAAGGTCAGTCAGCTTTCAAATTCCCGAACAACCTCCAAAGATAATCGCTTTTCTTTAATCTACAATCTTCATTCGTTGGATCCAATCCGACTTTTCCTTTATTGAAATAAATGTGAATGTTTCAAGATATTTTTTTAATCTGTTACCTTGTGTACTGAATCCTCGTTAATTTAATTTAAAAGTATTTGTTTCTTTGTTCAAATTTATTAGGATACTGGATATATTCTTAACTACCATTAGTAGTTTTGCAACTTTTTTCGCTTTTAATCGATTATACTATTTCCTTAATAACCGGCACCGCATCTGCAGTTCCTTTAGTGTTGCAGATGTCCATGGGTGTCGTTGATCATCTCGGTGTTCCCGCCGCTCGTTTGTTCCCTTTTCTTATATATATTTTTTTAATCTAAAATACTTTGATAAGTTCCTATGTGTTTTCCACTGTCCTTTTGTTCATGTTTCCATTATCACGGATAAATTAGTGGTGTGACAAAGATGACGTATGAATAATGATACATATTTGCACGTCACATCACCACACCACTTAAGATAAGTGATATGATTTAACAGATAAAGTAATACATTATTAATGGACAGACATACAGACAGACAATTGTTTAAAAAAATCCGTTTAGTTTTCTGTTATAAAAGAAGCCAATGCAAAATGTTCACGAAATTTTTGTACAGATTATTGTCTCTGTTTTTTTATAAACGAATGAAAGGGACGACAAATATATTTCATACTTTGTTTCGACAGTAGACATACACATATGCGACGCAACAAGGCTTCTCGTTTAACCAATATAACTTGACCTATCAGTTTATTTTATGTAGTAAGAAATAAGAATGAAATTAACACCTACGCTGGATCTACGTACACTGGTTAGGTGGTTTACATATGAACTGTCTCATTACGTTTTCGGATCAATAAAATGTTATATGAAAAGAAAAAAAAAAGCCTTTGGAAAGAAATTATTAAGCGTATTTTTATAGAAAGGTTTAAGAGCCAATTAAAATGGTATTCCATTTTCAATTGTCAGACGTTTGTATAAAAAACATAGTTATCTTTGTTTATTTAAAGCAAATGAAAGGGATGAAGATATTTTTGTATACATCTTTTGAATGATTCCGTGCAAGTTTAATGTTCTAATTACTTTTACAACTTAGCACTGTGGCATTCGGCTCCGAAAACAACGGACGGGTAAAGTCGTGGGCGAGCGGTCCCCCACGACGCGGTACTAGCGGTAGTATTCATATAAATAAGATATAAAAAGTAACTACGTCTTAAATATCAAATTAAAACCCTTATCGTATAGTCGTTTTATGTCGTCCGTTACATTTTACGTCTTCATATTCTTGTAACTGAAAACTTGGACGATATAAGAGTCAAAGACATTTTATTGCGCATAAAAAGAGTTGTTAAGGTAGCCTTTTGAGTAGGATCTTTATACTTAGATGATAAAATATTAAAAAAACAAATGTCAATTAACAATCAGCTGTCATTTGACACGTCAATATTACAGTTCATTAAAAATATTGTCTGATATAATGCTTTAATATAATAATAATGCACAAATTAAAAATAGATAAAAG